GGTTCAAGGAGCCGCTATGGCAGCTCCACACAGCCGGGCTCAGGGCCACACACGTGCCTGTGGTGTGCCCCAACCCTCCAGGGACACAGGAGCTGGCAGCCGTCCTGCCCGCAGCCTGGCAGCGCTGAGCCCTGTGGGGCCGAGGATCACCCCGGAGCCATGCTGGGGCCAGCACCCATCCTGCTGAGACGCAGCTGCTGGTTCCCAAATACTCTCGACCGCCAGCTTTCGGCACCCTCCTCTGTGCTCAGGCTCAGCTCTACCCCTCGTCACCTCCCCCTCCTATTTATGGCCTGGCAGGGGAGCGGGATGCCAGCAGCCCTGCGACCAGCCGCTGTCCCCTGTCCCCGTGTCCCACAGCCGCAAGGGGCACAGCACAGGGCACCACTGAGTTAAAAACGCTTTTAATGGCCACGTTTGCTTTGATCTGAATCCAAGGGCACTTGTGAGAAGGCAATTCGGAGCGCCCGGGGCACGTGTGGCCCCTGGACTTCCCAGCTGGGGGATGCAGGGGACCATGGGGACCTGCCCAGGCACAGAGCAGCAGAAGGCAGCAGGACGGGGGAGCCCAGACCCAGCTCCCTGCACCCCACACCGGGTCTCAGGGCATGAGTTGGACAAGAACCACAGTAGAGCTTCATCCTTGGGAGAGGCACCAGCCTGTGGCCCTGGCAGGGCTGAGCTCTCCTGCTCCATGTCGTGCTGGAGCCCAGCAGCGTGAATGTTCCATCCTACATTAAATATTCATCCCAGTAGAACAGGCAGAAAACCTTCATGGTCACCCTTGGGTCCCTCCAGGCAGGTGCTCAGAGCCAATGGGGCTCCGTGGGTCCAGTTCACTACCCCCATGCACTGACATGGGGGGGTCGCAGCCCACCCACCGGCTGGGTGAACCATCCCAGTGGTTCAGCCACTGTGGAGACGGAGACTCTCCGCTCTGGGGCTCAGCAAAAGGTTTTCAACCGTGGCACTGGCGAGGCCAAGACATGTCGTTGCAGGATGAGAGCCGCCCTGTCACTGCGGTCCCCACCACCTCGTCCCACGGCCGGCACTCTACCCACCTGCCCAGGATGGGTGGCTGAAGATGATGTTCTTCCTCTTGGCCCAGCGGGAGAAGATGGCTTTCTCGGTGATGAAGCGGTGCCCGGCACGGCGCGCTCGCTCGTGCACCAGGTACATCCTGCACTCGTCCAGCTGGCCCTTCTCGAAGTAGTGGTAGGGCACACTCGAGTGGTTCTTCTCCCTGGTGGGAGGGGATGGGGTGGGCATGGGACTCGGGGGAACGCCGGACCACCGCACGCCCGCCCCCGCTGCCCCCCACACACCTGCAGTAGCTGTCGCTGACCATGCCGAAGACGCAGATCTGCTCGCACAGCTCCATGGCCAGGATCATGGTGAACCAGCCCGTGCTCAGGAAGGAGCCAGACTTCATCCTGCAAAGCATCATGGCTGCGCTGGAGCGGGTGGCATGGTGCTTCCATCCCAGGCTACAGGTGCCGGACAGCGGGGGACGGGTGCTACGGCAGGGGGACCTGACCGTACCTGTTCTTCCCCGTCTCGTTCTGGAAGACGTTGTCACAGTATGTCATCTTCTCCTGGGTCAAGGTGTAGATCTGCAGGTGGGGGTACATCTCCATCACCTTCAGCAGCGCCTGGTAGGTTGAGCCCACCTTCTCCCGGTTCATCTTCTTTGCAGGCCCCCAGATGATGTAGAGGGTCCCCTGGGATTGCTGGAAGAAGTAGGGCTGGTTCCTCAGCAGCAGCGGGACGCTGGTGTGTGACACCACCCGGATGGTGCTCCGTGCCCCCACGTCCTCCTCGTAGCCGG